CTTTACGATGCACAATCGCGAGCTCAATTTCGGAGAACAGCAGCTCACTGCGTCACTTCGAAATGCTCATTGCCCCTCGACTGTTCACTCCCGTGATCGCCTGTGCGCGATCATATCGGCGTCCCGCTGGCGCCACACGCGCCATCGCAAATAAATACCTCCCTACGGTTTACAGCATCACTATTAAGCAGGCCGTTTGACGTCATAATCAAGGCTGAACAAATAGGCTTTATGATAGCGCGATCACTGAGAACTGATCATAAGTGCGAGGAGTTGTTCAGGCGGTGTATGGAAGCGACTGTGGGGCGACAGCGAGAAGGTATGGGTCATTCTAATCACTGATTTCAATGACTCACTAATTTTCACGAAAGCTGGACTTACATCATCACAATTACCAAGGATTTAGCGCCGATTGAGAGCAGCTAGAAGAGCCCTCTTTCGAAAATGCATTCATACTAGACCTCCTAGCGCTGAAATAACGGATGTGCCATTGCGAGGATGTAATTCATCGATTAGCCGGCCTTTCTCCCATAGCAAAATTGGTAGGTGTCCACGAACCTTTACCTAAAGGAATTGAAGAAATCGCCTATAGACATTATTATTAATACATATTTGTTACATATATTAGTAAGTATCAAGGTTTCAAAGAATAATGAGCTTCCTTAGACGACAAAATCGATGTGACCCGATAGTTCAAAGACTCGGTAAGATGGCTGAACCATTAATCAGCCGAAATTCCTTCGGCCCATGCATTTCGATGCAATGGGCCTAATTTCAGAGGCAAAAAGCGGAGAGTCACAAATATTCCATTGAATTGGCTCTCCAAGTCACAGATTTACCATCGCTTTCGCCAACTTTTACAGTAGGACAGGATAAATCCGCCCCATAAAAAGTAAAAACCCGCACTGTAGAAACAAAAGATTGCTTTGCAGAACGTCGCCTCTGCCTAAAGTCTTTTCCTTCAAACATTACAGAATCGATTGAGTTTGAAAAGGTCGAAAAGTTATGAATGAAAACTGCTGGGAGTTAAAGTAGCAGTGGTTTGTCATTGAAGTAGGGCTAGGGGAAACTAGGTGATACCCTTCTTTACGACGATATGCTTCCATGTTATTGGATAATTACCCCATGAATGAGATCTTCGATAGGTTCTTTCCTTCGATTGACCACCTGCTAGAAATTTACAAGGGTAAACGGCAAGGTAGAGGAGAGGAACACATCAAGTATCGCAGGTTTACATTGCATGTATAAGCTAAAAACAGCCTTCATCTTCTTTATTCATCCACAGTGAGGCTGCCAAAGGAATGTAGTAGGTGAAAAGTGCCCTGTCTCTATAAATAAAATCTCCCAATCAAGTAGGGCGCAGTCATCGAAAATCTTTGAAAACGTCAAAAACAATACAATGAAACATTTATTGAGAAAAGAAAATAAGTCGCATCGTTTCTGAACACAATCGATGTCAACCCAGAAAGTTTAGTCATTTTGGGTGATTTCTACAGCTTCAACTTTTTGAAATTCAGCACGGCAGGTTTAGCTTCTGGATATCCTGCATCGTAGTCACATGTGGACCCCGTTCTGAATCATCGAACAGCTCAGCAGCATATTCCTATAAATCCCCTTGGACAAGACATTCAAAACAAATACTGTCCAATATGAAATTGTACAGCTCTGAAGATGAAGTCGAATAGCTCGTTTTGTGTGGTACCCAATAAAAAACTTTGGGAAACATAGTTTACCCTAGTTTTTATAGATTTCACGTCGTACAAACGGGATAAGGGAAATCGTTATGCAGTACTTCGAAGCTCTACTTCCTGTTAAAGACCTATTAAAAAAGCTAAGTGCTCCTCCGAAAAATTTTAAATGTACAGTCTTTGAATCTGTTCCTTCCCAAAAAAATATCAAAATTTCACAAAATCGGCAAAATAGCGGGCAGATCTCTCTCTCTAAAAAAAACTTCCGTATGCTGATATCCATGGATTAACTAGAGCTTTTCGCCTCTGTCACATAAAGAGTCAGAAGACGTACCGAGCCTTTGAACTTCACCGAATTCAACAAAATCGGCCACTGTTCGATTCGGTCGTCTTAAGAAAAATCATCGTCATCTCCGACTTCCAAGTGCTTACTGCGCTTTGTAGTTGACATTCTGAAGTGAGTGGCAAAACCGCTCAATCTGCTTATAGGAGGAAGAATAAGCGTTTCCACCCACTTTAGAAACCTCAAGCGATCACACAACAGAAGCGTTGTCCAAAAGAACGAGCTCGGACTCACAACCGAGCCTCCGATTTCCTCTTTTAACATTGAGCCTCACTTTGATTGTATAGAATGAGAAAAATTGGACGTACTGTCTTTTTACTTTTTTTCTTATTGCGGAATAATTCTTTCTGTGGAATGAATCGTTGGGGATGTAATTGACGATCATGGCCCACTGGAAATCAGACCTGAACATACTTCGATCCCATGGCATTTTGAAAGCTTAAAGGTTCTTATTCTGCTTAACTTTGTGGTCATAGGAAGGATTTCCCAGACAGAGCTGAGGCAATCGCTCTGCGATGTATTGTTGCTAGTCGGACTATCTCAGACTTGACCGATGTATATCGTTCTAACATTTTTGTCACCCATTTGATTGGACTTAGGATGTTTGAACTCTTGCTTTAATGGCCCTGATGCATTTTTCTTGACCACCTCAATGAGTGACTGCTGCAAAATCCAACTCGCTCAGGACCTTTTTCATCACGAGACATGCAATAATGTGAGAATTCCAGTTCTTGACTACAAAATTTCTAGATATAACTAACTGGGAATCTACTTCCGAAGTTGGAATCCTGATGGTTTCATTCTCGCAGTAGCAAACTCAGAAAATCTGTTTGTAGGTCTACTATGCACCTGTCGTAATAACGTGTGAGATGGGGTAAGGCTGTTGCACTGAAAAATTCCAAGTAATGAACTGGTAAGGGTCCAGACAACCTCAGCCCACACAGCTCGGATCTTTACAAAAAAGCCAAACCATCTTATAGGTTCATATGTGTGTGCCCTATAAAGAAATAAACGTCAAAACTCACTTGGTTGAAATCCGCAAAGCAGTACTGCGACATTCAGACTCGTTAGGTAAAGAACCTGCGTGACCCGGAGTCCATTTTATTATTGGAGTCATCAGCGCGACACCTACCGGGCTATGCTTTACTCGAAAAGTTACTATTTATTTAGTTTCTGAGATCAGCTATTTCCACTTGGTGGTTTTGTTCATCATATTCCTTAGCTCTTGTCAGTTGTCTGCGTGTCGATCCCTTCCTGAATTGGATATCCTCGATGCCCATTTTCATCATGTTTTCTTTTCGGCTTGAAAATTAACAGAAATGAATGAAAGGGATTGATCCCTAAATTGCAACAAGCCGTCTCTCGGGGTTGAATCATCTCGCGCTGTCACTGAAGTTCAGGATCAACACAAAGTTTTCCTTGTCTACCTAGTGTAGCCGTCTACACCTGAAAGCTGTACGCGTGGCATCCGTCGGATCAAAGAAGCGTTAGTTATATGACAAACGATCTTCAGTCTCTTCTCGAAATGCCAGCGATGGATGTCCACTTGCATTTTCTTTCTGTCAAACACGATTGATAGATGTAACATTCATTTTCGTCTGGGGAAAACAAACACGTTAAGAAACTAAAGGTAAATATATACATGCTACATTTCGAGTTTGAAATATGGAAAAAAGAATTCGATAAAAAACGTCATGAAGAAGATTCAATCCCGGCAACGATCGGGACCAAAGGGAGTGGATCCATGGGGACTTACCTAGGCCTACGCATCAAGATGAGCTGACAGTTCATTGCCTCGCTGAATGCCAGTACCTTCTGATTTCCCAAGGAAATCTTCTGCTCCCTCTGAAGAGTTCTGTGGGGTAAATTTTATAGGCAACGAGTTCGAAATTTGACCTGTTTGAAGCTCGAAGCTTCATCTATACTATAGACCTAAGGCACATTTGAATTGTCTTTTCTCCAAAGAAGCGTAAGTTCAGTAGGTGAAGCCCTACCCGAATTTTTTATCAGAAGAGCACTCATCTAATTTTTTGCTGCCACAGATGTCTAAGACAATACAAAATTCCCAAATCAACACCCAGTAACGATTACTTGTAGACGAAGAAATTCATAGGGAGCGGATAAATCAATTGAAAACCTGGATCCGAAGAAATGGGAAATGCCGTCTCTATTGTCGGGTCCCTCCTAATTGCAGCCTCACAGTCAGTTTGTTGATGCTACCGCACAAAAAACACCTTTGGCAGGTCGCCATTGTATCAACAGTGGCGGGAACACACAACTCAGCTATTTTTGGAAACCCCAACAAAACAGTATCCTTGTATTTGCACAGCACTTAAAGTCGCCACTTATACGTTGTCTTTAGCTAATCACGTCACTTTGCAAACATTTACGAATTGAGGTCGATCCATAAATAGCAGCTATCACCTCGCTCCCTTCCTTGACTCCGACGGCGCAAAAACGTCATTCAGCGTACATCACTGTAACTTTTGATCCCGCAGGGTACCACTCCAGATGGTATCCATTGCAAACAAACCAGGAAGGCGCCAGTAGGCACTCACGTGGCGATATGACATTCCAAATAGGCGTCGGCGTGAGTGGCGCCAGTCTAAGAGCAGCGCAAACATTCCCAGACAGACTCATACGAGGGTCACGCCAATACACACACTCTCCAACGAAATGAGAAAATGCACAGGGATGAGGACACAGAGGAGCGAGTTCATTGACCCTGAGCCCACAGAGGCGACAGCCGGTCGTAGTGACGTAGGCATTGCGGTACACATGAAAAAGCAGCACGAGGGCATGCTGCTGATGATCAGCGCTCGGATTCATCGAGGTATCGGTCGATGGCGTTTGTATTATGGATAGCGGCAGCATTATGACACTTCAGTGATGGCTTCGAAGTGGGTCACACTCGCGATTTCTGAGCTGCCATCTCCTCGAACTGCTCTTGTAATGAAACGTTGCCAATTCTAACGATTACCACACTCAGAGAATTGCAATGTCCATGCATCCCTCCCTGCACTCTTTATCACATGCCAGCCCTGTTGCACTGTAGGAAAAAAAGCGAAAAAAACCAACCAAACCACATGTGCAAAAATTGGTTTTAAAGTCTGAGCGTTTAGCTTGATAGATGAAGTTGCAGCAAGTGTGCCCGCAAATGGTCATGCATCATCTCGATGGCCACCTGAAACTCCCAACTCATCCCGACATTTATAGTCAACATGGATTAAATCGAAGCGAGAGCACTTTGATCTTTCCTGGTTCATGATAAGGGCGAAAATAATGTAATAAGGCGTTTTCACACAAATGGGCAGTGGATTGAATCCAAGATTGATATCCACCTAAGCATACCCAGGCTTCCATCACCACACAGTCGGCCAATTGGCACTACATAGACTGCCCAGTAGGATAAAACAGCTGACATGGACATTGGCTGGCCACCGCATGATATCCTATATGTCACAAACGCATTTATAACGCCACCACGATTATCAAGAAAGTCGAATGCGAGGCGCACCCTCAAAAATTGGATTTACTGACGTAAAAACTCCCTTGAAAGGATGAAAAAAATCAAAGAAAACAACTTATAATGACTCCTCAAGCACTGATCGTTCTAGAGACACATTCGTAAGAATGAATCAGTGCCTTGGATTTTTNTTTTTCTTCACGTCCTTCCAACCGTTACCGTACCGATTTCAATAATGTAATCAATCATTTAATGTGTGGCTCTTGCTGATTACCTGTGTTTCACTTTTCTTTGTTCTCTCTGATCTAGACTTCTTTGGGATCAAGGCAATTCCATCGTGTTCCTCAGGTTATTTCAATGTGGTGAGCCATTGTCTAAAGTTCACATTAGAGGCACAGTTCACGATAATTCAATGGGCGGGAACGTCAACGGCTTTCCCGCCTCTCGATCGATGTCACGTCATCGCGTTAGACGAGTGTCGAGACAATACAGATTGCAACTACTCATTCTAGGACCCACACACAATCAGCTGGTCGCCAAGTGATAAGGCGGTGTTTTTCTCCAATTCTTTTTTCCTCTGTTATTCTTATTGCTGCCGCGATCCTCATTTTATTTCCTATTCCTAGAGGCTAAAAAAGGTGATCTACTTTTGTTGTTACTAGGGTTTTTTTGTTTAGTTATGCTTATAAGTGAATGAATTTTTGCCTACCATAGTCTGTATTCGTACCGGGACCCACACGTACGCAATGAGACGCACTGTATAGCTCGTCCAAACGCCCCACTCTTCTACACTTTTCTGGTCTCATTCTCGTCCAGCCCCCTTTTAAACGGTTTTTCGAAGGCTTTTTTCACTTTGGAAACACCATTCAAAGTTTTCACATTCATCGCACTATTTCCGATCTTGTCTTTCATTTCCCATCACGATCTGGATTACCCAAATTATCGTGAACTGTGTCTTTAAATTCAACTTGAATCAATTGTGTACTTTGATGCTTTCTCATTTTAGTTTACATCTTCGATCAGAGTGGAATTGTGCATGAATGGGACAAGATTAAAGGAATCAACTAGGAAAAGGAAAAGGAAGTGAAGTAAACTTCTGCGCTGAAATAAATCCTATAATTTCTTTTTGCTCATGAGCAAATGTTCTACCATTCAAAGGGAGAGCATGGCGTATGAGCTGTTACCTTTCATAAACACCTCGACGAACGTCATCCGGTTTTGTATAAAGAACCTCAAGGCCTATACAGCCCAATATCTTCGTTCTCCGATGCCAGCAGAAAATTTAGGATTGGACTGTGAGTAAATATTTTTTAGATTTAGGTCCCAATCTAACGAAAATTACTGAGTCTTTTACATCAGTGATCATCTGAAAGCGTCTCTTTATCCGCATACAAACAGGAGCATAGAATTCGAATACTGGTGATACAACACAGACTTTATAAGAATGCTGACAATTAATCACTGAAGGAACCGATACACATACCGAACCGTAGTAATGTGTAACAAACGAGCAAATTTTGCCGAATTAATGGATCATTTCCGGACTTTCCTAATTCCATTTCTTGCAGATTTTTAGTCATCATTTCCCTTTTCTCGAAAAAAAAAANAAAAAAAAACGATTGTCACGAGGGTCACGCAGCTAAATTTACCAAATCAACCGGTTTCGAGTACACAATGTTTTGACAACAGGTTTGTATTTTGAGAGGAACCAATTCGATAGAACTGGCAGTGCTATGAAAAAAATATGCTGTGGTAGCTAAAAATGAGTAAGTCATTTGATGTGCTTACAAAAATCCTTCTGAACGTGATGGTCCTAATTTCGATGCCGTTGAAAGTTGTGTGCATACTTCACAACGGCTACAAAAACATCCATTAACCAGGACCACACGGCACGTTCCAGCATTTGTTGGCGGAAGGCGATCATTGCTCCCCATTTCGTATACTGAATGAATAAAAGAAATGCTGCTTCTACTAATACCTACATGAGTGCTCTAACATCCAGCTTAGAAGGTGATTTTCTGAGTCCACGACTTTAGCGTGAAAGTGTAGCTGGCTAGTTGATTCTTGGATAGGACAACCGCACAGCAGGCACCCGTTATCCGAATCCATCATTTTATTCCCGAAGGCTCAATCCACGATGATTTTGACTGAAATAGTAGAAGTGAAGTGGTGCGGAACAGTGCAAATTGGATAGGAAAGCGCAAGCTTCCGTGGGTTTCTGAAAATTGCTCAAAATAGGTTAGTACAAGATTACCACGAAGGAAGCGGCATGGAAGAGGTATTTAGACGAGTTGTCATTTGTGTGCAGTCACATAAAATGTCAACTACAGCATGTAAAAAATGCTAAAGCTCGCTTTGTGCTATCGCAATCGAGACTGCATGCATTCAAAATATTGAGAACTCCATGTTACTGTTGACATGGAGTTGTTCTTCACCACACTGTTGTGCCATTACTTTACTATGGTTTCTTAGATCATCTGCTATGTTACATAACGTCATTATCTCTGATAGCCGTTCTAATTTCAGCAAAGCTGATCTGTTACGAATGGTGCAACTTCGAAAAGACCTCTGAAACACGGCTAGTGGACCGCACACTTTTGAATCTTTTTACGCCCTATCTGAGCAGTTTGTCTCTGCGAAGCGTCCATGGGCTACCCTTGGTTTGATCATGAACTGTTCCTTCAAAGTTACAATTAATGAGATATGCATGAATATCTAATTGGTCCAAACTGAAGAAACTTTTTCCCCTCTTTCTCTTTTATTAGTCCTCACTTCCATTATATACTCCAATTCAATTCATGTTTAAAAAGAAAAATCAGTTGTAATATACCATCAGCATCTTTTTTTCTGGACTCATCACTTTTTGTGCAAAGAGACCTGTCGAAAAAGATGAATAAGCTGAGAAACTGTCTATCTTCACTGGAAGCCCGATGGGGTTGAATGAAATGGTGCGTGAGACAAAGCAGTACGTCTTTGAGCTACATCAGTACGTACATAGAAGCTCGAAGTCTTTCGACGTTATTCAATCCCATCTGTAGGACGCACCCCACATTCAATCGCATTGGTGATTTGAATGCGTTTGGGGCCTAATATGATGACTTACGGTGGCCATACAATGTTAAAGTCAGTCCTTTTCCTCCAGGAAAATTTTTCAGTTTAATTAACCGTGAACGGGTAGGAGACTTGCTTCAATTAGAAAATGATCAAAGAAGGACTCAACGGAAGAATTAGTGGACTGCAATAAAAAGGATTTGAGGTCTGATCTGCGTTGACCTTATCTACCCGTAAGGACTATTCAGCTATTCAGCACCCTGCTGAAAGAGCACGTGGGAGTAATCGGTATCAAAATCTATTAGGTAGTTCATGAGCTGTTCTCTAGCTACCCTTACATTTAAGGTGCACTAAAGATGTTCTGATCCCTCATTCCCTATGCGAAAGGAGCAAATTAGTTGGTCTCGAACCACAGGGGTCGCAAATTTCCCTCAAAGATAATCGATTCACTCGAGAACGATGTTCATTTCTTTTTTTACTCCTCTCCCACTCCGAGAACGGCCCGCCTATTTGCGTTGTCACGTTTGCTCGAGCCGCAGTGTAAAGTAGACATAAGGAACCACCTGATCGGCCTTTTGAACTTCGAGGCTATTGGCAATCAGCCATGACTCGGCTGCCAACGTCAATTCACAGCTTGTGATAGGGCGGAGATCAAGCTCATGACAGATGAGATATCCCAGAAACCAATAAGCACCATCGAACTCTTTGATCCGGAAATCGCTCATAAAACAAACATTTCAATGAGGTGTCGACTTCGTCAGCGAGTATGATAAAATTGGTTTCAAAGACCGATGGTCAGGGTCTACGTATGTTCACATATTTGCTATAACGACACCGATGCGAACTGAGTAATACTTAGGGTCAACAGGAGCAGTTAAACAGACCCACGTGTAGAGCAACACGAGGTGGGTTTTCGGCAGAACATATATCACGCTCTGGTAAACGTCACTAGTGACCAGAGAGCTAGCATAGAAGAAATTGAGCTGTACATGTTTTGGACCACTGAGAACCTCACAATGGTACCATTACGCCGTCCAACAAAACAAGAACACGTATGCTAACCGAAGTAAAATGCATTCCTTAGAATGAAATTTCTTGATTAGGAGCAGGATATCCAACTGCTGCATATCATACGTGTTTCGTAGAACCTAGTCGGACCCATACCCTGACGAGCATGGCTATCCCTTTCCCCTAGCCATTCTAGGACACCGATTGCAATCATTTCCTTATCTGTATCTCGTCAAAATTACTGTTCGCAAAAATATCCCTTTTTGTCATAGTAAAGATCTCTGTGTAGGGCTCAAAACCTGGTCTTCAGTCCGGATGCCATGCGTTATCATGTGGTCCACATGTCCTTCGCAGCGAGAACTACAGTCCAACTGCTGTCTCATGACTCCTAGTGTTGGAACCATCGATAAGTAATGGAGACTATTTGAAGAGAAAAACTCAAAGGCTTGATTAAAAAAAACTGTTACTTTTCTCTTATATCCTCTTAGGTGAGAGAATTCGGGTAGAAAAACTCGTTATTTTATGCTCCTGTGACATAAATAGCCTCCTGTAGTTGGGCCCTATCCGGCCCTTCGAATCTTTAAAAGCTCACTTCGCACGTCCTCTGGAGTCTCGATTCAAACAAAACTAACTAAAACTACCAAAAATCTGACCTCTTCGCCCCAGAATTCGCTAATATTATTTGAATGATATTTGTCCTCCGCCTCCTCCACCCCCACACCTCCTGCTCAAATAATACCTCAACGGCAACTGAGCCAACAGACCTTTTTAATCAAAAATCCGTCGCTTGGCAACGACGAATTTAGTCAACAGGAGATGTGGAGTTCCTAACGATCGTTTTCCCCTGAATAAACAGACCTTCTGTATGTCATGAATTCGCTCACACAGACTGTGAGATAATAATGAAAGCTGAACTTCCAGAGAGTTAGCCACACTCGTCACTTAATTTTGTCAAAGTCAGCTCACCGCCTCTTACAAACCGTGGAAGGGCTAAGAACAACTAGCAACTGCCCATAACAGTACATGGCATCAATTAATTTTTTGAGTCACCATTTTCTGATTTTAGGACAAAGGGCATCAGTCATTTGGTCAAAGAATAAGAGAAGATTGTTGATGTCGAATGAATTTCTTGCCAAGCTAATGAAAGTGGTTTAGTTAGCTTTTCTAATCAACGCCGTTGCAGAACCCTCTAAGATGAATCTTACCTGTATCGGAAGGCTGGGATAAGTAGAAGGCTGTTCAGCCACTGCTCTAGCAAAAATCACGGCAATCATCTTCCTCCCCTTATTGACGCCCTTTCCCAATATCATCCAAGTTCACGAACGTGAAACCACCTCATTTTATCGGCTGAAAGATCAATCAGCTATAAACCCTCCACATTTCATCTTACCAGCATGTTACGCTTGGTTACAATAACATGAGGACGAAACCGTTTATTAAACGATTACTGGCCGTCCCTCTTCCTTTGCAACCCTGAATGGAAATCAGTGTAGCGCATTCTAGTAGCTAGTCAATCCTCTACAAGTCAATCCCTTCACCAGGTTCTCCACAGACGCGCAAAATACGCTGTCGAACACTGCCTGAGGTCGGCAGCGAACAACCTGCCCAAGGTCCTCCTACGCTTAGGGTTATAAGGGGAAATCATGTGATTATGCCTACAGATCACACCCACAACTGTATGTACGGCGGAAATTACCGAGGATTACTAGTATCGGTGATCTCATAATGCTGAAGTGCATCCTGTCAGTACCTAGGGATTATCCCGATCACGGTTCTCATCTATTACATGTATACTAGACCAATTTATCCGGTTGCCCTGCCAGAGAAGAAAGCTTGACACTAGCATTGTGATTCATCTGCCAACGAAGTTGTTAGGTGGAAACTTCATTAGTGGCCTGACGTTTAGCCACGATCCTCTTCTTCAAAGGCTTAAACGTGGCCCAAGGCTTAAGAGATCTGATCTAAACCGCCGTACGCCTCCTTTCCCTAGCGTTCCTGGTGGAACGTTTGGGATAGCGTTCGTTAGGGAGAACAAACGGAGAAACACCAACGAGGGAAAAAAACTCACCCGGTTCACCATTTTGAATCAATGCGTCGATTCACGTGGGTTTCCGTCTAAACGAGTAAGCTGAGCACTGAACCCCAAGTTGTACTGCTAGCACCGAGGAAATATCATTGCTGTTGACAGGGCTGTCTCAGTCGCTTGTGCTGCTTCTTCCCTTTCACTTATTCTCTCAGCGCAGTATGCTATGATCTAAGCTGTAGAAGCGCTATTAGTTGCATCACCCCAACACACCTTTTAAGCACCTCGCTAACTGTTACTACGCTTGCGTTAGATTTCCCACATCCCTGCCAGCGGTGAACTAAATGGGAAGACCAACAATCGTCAAAGAACACGAAACAATAAGTTATCAGTATATGAATGATACTTATTACTTAGCACGGGCAGAGGTAATGTAGTGGCAAGTGGCGCACTTCACACACGCACGGGTTCGAATCGCGGGTCGATATCCGCCTCGGCCAACCAAGCCTTCCATCCCTCTGGGGCTGGTGAATTGGTACCAGACCCGTCCGGGAGTATAAAAGCACTGACCTGTACATTTGCTGGCTGGCACCGCAAGTCATTGTATAGGCCACGTACGCATTCAATACACCACTACGATTCTGATTGGAAGTTGAATGCGGGGCGCATCCCTCAGACGGGATTGATTAACGTCAAAAACTTTATCCTTTTATTGCCTAAAATTAATCTTCCCAAAATATTTTCAATAATGACACTTAACGTAGCTTATGGTAGGGTAGAATTCTTTGCTTGCAACCCTTTCATTCCCCTACTTCCTTCATCGGCTCTCGGCTCTGTTTCGCTCACATTGATTACCATCGTCAAAGCCGGCACGTTTCTGACGCAAATCCATAATAAAAAATGAGAAATGTTGCAACACGAAGCCATAGCATCAAGCGAATGAGGACAAATACGTCAGGCCATTTTCGACTGTTTGTTCAAACTTCCTTCCATGCATTCCTATGAAATGGTAGCAAAAATTAAAGCTACCCAACACGGAGCCTGTCTTGGAACGGGCTCAACTTACTCTTTAATTAATTTCTTCTTTCCATCTGTTAAAAGACACAGCAATTTCTCAATAGAGCACGAAGCACTCAGCGCTACCCTAAGGGGGATGGGGGCTATTCAGCTTGTCTATAACCTATGAGACAGCTCAGCCTGATTGCCCAGTAAGACCGGACGGAAAANAAAACTGAATTCCTGCTTTGTAGCTGGATTTTGCTAGGATTATTCTAAGGTTCAAATAAAGCTGATCCTTCTGCTCCGGAGACAACAGTCCAGTTTGGAAAAGCACCTCCTCTAACCGAACGACATTGAGAAAGCAGACATTAGGCTATCTTACAATATATTCCTCTTGAACAGCACCTTAGTTGTTCCTATCATTTATATTCTCTTTTAAAACCTTGAAACGACTCCTCATGGATCGTTTTTTGAGGTTCTGAATGCCCCTAGAATTGGGATGCGATGATGAATACACGCATGCATATCCCTTCCTCGGGGAAATTTCTCCATGCTGCTCTATAACTCTTCATCCCTCTGCCCTTTATTTCCACTCGCTCAACTCGAAACAAAAGAAACATGACGAGGATAGGGCACTACGAAGGCGAAATCGAATTCCCCAGAGACGCAACAAACAGTTCATCTTAACTTGAGCACAATACAATTTCCTTTCTGAGCCCGTTTCTCGTTAAAACACCCCGCCCAGAACAACGAAATAACATTAAGTGACAGGGAGCAACTAATTAAGGAGTAACTTAAGCATTTGAAATCCGATGAACTGGATGGAGAACAAAGGTTTTTACCAATTTCTTCATTTCTTCTCGGTAAGCCCGCCATCGAGATAATCCCAATGCCCAAATGATGTAATTGTAGAGGCAGATTTTCAAGAACAGCGTTATCAACATTGATTTACCAGTTTCCCTGAACTTCTTCCTTTTTCCCTACTTGATTGAAAACAAAGGACATGTTGCTTGCGAGCGATCCTTTTTTAGATGTCTCCTTCTGCTAATCCGGAAGCAGTCCTGAGCGTGGGATTGGGTTATCGACATCAACGGCAGTACCTTGTGCAGGAAAAACGGCTTTCAAATTTAATCGCTGCGCAAATAAGTAAGTAACTAGAGCGGTACTCCAAAAAAGAGTACTCATGTGTACTTTTCCTCCACCATGTCCTAATGTCTTTTATGCCGGCAGCTGCCAAAAAAAGTATAATTAGCGAGTCAGTTTTGTGTTTGTGTGCTTGGAAAAAACTCCGAATTCAACCAGGCTCCACTAGCGAGTTATTCCGTGAAAATTTCATAGGATAGCTGGACTTTTTTGTCAAACAGTAAAAGTGAGGCTATCAAAAATGAATTCATATTCTCCAAAAATCCAGTCCTAACCGAATCGACCTCATAAAATACTCCGGGGAAAGTTTTCAAGCAGTTTCTGTCGGTTATTGCCGAAATCCGAGCAAATTTGGAACAAACTTTCTACTCACTCCCTTTTTGCTTGAATTTCTTGTGAACCCGATCCCTTATTCATTTCCCACCAACAATCTATTCCCTGTTTACAATCCGGTGTTTTCATGTTGCAAACCTCTGTCCCTGATACGTCAAGCCCCTCGGCTCCGTGGTTTATCCGTTACGAGGTTTATCTGGTAGAGATGGTAATTTCTGG